CCCTGCTGGGTGTTAAGAGCCATTGATTCTTTGTGATGGAATTCTTCACAACGGGGGAGGCCTTGGTGATAGCTGGGTGGAAAACCTTGGAAGGTAGTGTCCGGAGACACACAAGCCTTGCAGCCAGCATGGTGATGAACCAGGTTTACTAAGCAGATCTGAAATGCTAGAGAGAAGGGAAAAGTATAACTAATTAAAGGAGGATACAGATGAATCAGAACTAGATACAATAATTAGCTTTCATTGGAAATACAAGTAAGGTGCACACTTTTTCTTTTTGTCTTTGTTGGTTGTGGGGCTTGAATTCTGGGCCTGAGCTCTTCAGCTCAGGGCAAGCAATCTGCCACTTGAACAACAGCACGACTTCTGGTTTTCTGGTGGTTTATTGAAGATAAGAGTCTCATGGGGAGGGGGGAGAGGGGGGGGAGAGTCTCAGACTTTTCTTGCCTGGGCTGGCTTTGAACTGCGATCCTCAGAGCTCAGCCTTCTGAGTAGCTAGGATAATAGGCATGAGCCACCAATGTCTTGCTTAGGTGCACACTTTTTCAATGAATCCTCTGCTTGTCTTACAGGAAACCACTCCACAGAATCCTGTTTGGGACTGAGCCACCAAACTAAGTTTAAATCCCAGTTTAAATAATAGTATGTATGACTTTGCAAAAACTATACATGACACAGAATGAAGATTATCTTAACAACATTGAGAGGATGGTGAGATCTTATGCAAATGTACTTTTTGACTTAATACTTATACCAGCATTCAATAGGAAAGTTTAAAAAGAAGCTGTAGGAATTTTTGAGCACAGGAAAATGTTGTCTATGAAGACATATGACAAAGGGTCAAATATAAATTTCAAGTAGCTGGGATGTAGCTCAATGGCAAAGCGCTTGCCTAGCAAGTGCAATGTCCTGGGTTCGATCCCCAGTGCCAAAAAAGAAAAGACAAAAAAATACAGTTAAAAAAAAACCCCAAACAAATAAATTTCAAGTAACTCAAATATTCAAGACAAGATATGGAAATACTCAATTCAGTTCACCTACTCTATATGACTTTCTACATCAAGTAAAGGGCAATCTAAATAAACAATTACCAATGATGTGTCCCTCATATGTTGGTCTCCATTTGTGGTGTCACCACTAGAAAAGCATGCTAAAAATTCCAGCTCCAGGACAATCTATATCAAGTAAGTGGCCATCCAGAAGTCAATATGACAAATGTAAGACAATTTAGGCTCACCAGCCCATCTCTGTCAATGATTTGTAATCAATCCTAGGCAAATGAAATCCTCCTGGGTCTCATTTTCCCCATTTGTTCCATACGGAATCTGGACCAAAATAGTACTAGACTACAGTGCTGGCCCTTAGACTACCCACTCTGAAACTACCCGAGATAGATCTTAAAATTAGACTCCTGATGGGTGCTGGTGGGTCACGCCTGTAATCCTAGCTACTCAGGAGGCTGAGGCCTGCGGATCCCTGCCCAAAGCCAGGGGAAGCAAAGTCCATGATACTTCCATCTCCAATTAACCACTGACAATGGAGCTGTGGCTCAAGTGGCCGAACACCAGTACTGAGCAAAAAGGCTGAGACCAAGGTCCTGAGTTCAAGCCTCAGGATGGGCACATGGACATATACATACATAGGAATACAAGTGGGTGCACACACACACACACCACCAAAACTTCTAGATCATGCCTTCTGGCAATTATTCAAACTCTAAAAATAGAACCAGGAATGTATTTTTTAAATTAGTATTCCCAAAGCTAAGGATTCTAGCGTTGAAATACCCGCAAGTCCTTCCAGCTCTGCCACAGGAACTTTGAAGGTTATAAATAAAACCACTGGGCACCTGACCTTTGGGAAAATCCCCATCTCTTCTGAAACTTTCGTGCCATTTGCATCATCTCAACCAGAATTTTTCTAAGTCTTCGGCTCATTGGTTAGGATAGAGGCCCAGGGTGCAGGCAGTGGCCAACTGTACCGTTTAAAAAAAAGCCCAGAGTAGGATGCTGGTGGCTCACGCCTGTAATCCTCTCAGTAGGCTGAGAACGGAGGGGATCCAAAGCCAGCCGGGGAAGCAAAGTCCGTGTCCAATGAATACCACCAAAAAAGCCACAAGCGAAGCTGGGCTCAAGCGCACTAACCTTGGGCAAAACAGATGAAGGACGTAGCCTAGGATCTGAGTTCAAGCATGAAAACCGGCACAGAATAATAAAAAAAAATAATAATAAAGCCCCGAGTGGGAAATCTTGATGTCACACATTCTAAAGCGGCCTTGTGTGAATGCTCGATGTCGGGAACGGGCACCTGATTCCATCATAACGAGACGCACCCGGGCGCGTTTATGAGCCTGGGGCACCCACCCTATTACCCAGAGGCGAGACCGGGCGGCAGCTCAACCTCCCAACTCCGAAAAGTCAAAGCCGGCCCTACCCCGCGCCCGGCCGCGGGCGCCCTGCTCTCCGCCTGGG